AACCTGCTCCCATCCGCGTCTCCAACCCCGTCATGGGGTGACGCCTTCACCGTCGACAACAGCGTCAGTACACCGGCAACCTCGCTCCCAACATCAATAGCTGGAGCACCGAGTCTGGCAGTCGATACAGCATCACCTGTGCCTTCCAACACAGTGACCGAAGATGTTACAGTGATCACTGGTATTCAAAGTGCTGTTGGTTCGAGGACTGCGAGCTTTGATGCAAGTTCACAGAGTGTGACGGGAACGCGGAGTGGAGGAAGCAGTACAGAGAGCGCTACGGGTGCTTCAGGCCTTGTGGAGGCTACCGGTGCTGCGGTTCCCGTGAGAGGTCTTAAGAAGATGGGTTTTGCGGGGGCGATGGCTGGGGCTGCGGGAGTGCTATTTGTGTAGAGCGAGGAGAAGAAGGAGGAGGAGGGTAATGGGCTCAACGGGCGAACTTTTCTCCACAGAAAGAGTGGTGGAAGTCGATACGAGTTGCTCAGGTACAGACACTGGAATGTTTTGGGCCAACACTTGGACTGAGAAAGAGTTACCAGGGTGAGGGGAGAGAGCGGTAGGACCTTGACAATTAATGGGAGCTTGCATGACGGAATTGCGCAAAGATAGAGAAAATGTCGAGTTTGCGGATACCATGGCATGGCACCAGCTATGTGGTTACACAGTTCTAGCTACGAGCTTGAAAGAGCTGACTGATTCCTTTGGAAAAAATATGATGTGGTGGAGTACGTTATACTCAACTCGGCTCCTGGCATTGTCGTGATCGTCATTGCAGCAACGGTCCTGGTGTCCTAGTCAAGCTGGAGTCAACTTGTTAGGTAAAAGCGAAGGTTACTGATATGTTGACAACCTGGTCATAATACCGAAGTACGAGCGAATGCAACAATGTCGGTTATCGAAAGCGAGGAAAGCGGCTACGTAAGCATTGAGGCATTTAATGATGCCCAACGTTAGACTGTAGCCATCGCGTATGGCGCGGACTGAGGAATGGCGAAAGGCTTGCAGGATCAAGAGTACACCGGTGTATTCTGAACGGTGAGCCTAAGCAAAGGCGAAGACTCGCTATAGTCTTCAAGGTTCGGCTCCAGCTGCGCTTCATTAGTTCCCAGCTCGCGACCGCTCTACCATCCGTTCAAGCCTTTTTGGCTAGCCTCTCTTACGATTACAAACTAAATATATCTTTCAGCGCCGCCGCATTGGCAAGAAGGTCCGTTTGAAATTTTCGGTATGCAACGTATCAATCCATCTCTTTCAAAGCTAATAGCATATCAGCCTCGGCCTGGCCGCCACTACTCGGCGCTAGCGTGTGCAAGCCGTGGCAAGTCCTGGTTCGATCAAAACGCAGTTGACCGCGTGATACAAGACAGTTGACGCGCAACACACGGCAGCAGGCAGTGCTACATGTCTACTCTCTTTTGGGTTGGTAAGCAGGTGGCTTGCTTGGTAGGCTTGCGCAGTCCTTGTAGTTAGTGATGGTGGAACTCGGTGTACGCCGGCTGGTTAGAAACTAGCTGATGGTGGCGATGCGGGTGCTGCTGCTGTTCGCGTCCTTGGGGCTGTGTGCTTGTCAAGACGCAACAGAATGTTGAAGACTTCAAGCGATAGATGCGACAGAGAAGAGAGAATCGCTGGGGTGTAGTTACGGTGTGGCAATGAGCAGCGGGTTCTTGCAGCTTGCTTGATGCATCTGTGGAGAGGTGGGGAACAATCCCGCTGTGGGGTCACCTGGTCAGTCAACCACAGTTTTCCTGGCGCGACGAACGACAAGATGTGATCTTCAACTCCGCGTTTCAGGCTCTTGACACGCGCCAAACGCGACGTCATGTTGCGCACACGCCAAAGAGTGATTGACCCCAGTACCTACTGTGTACTACCAGGTTGCTGTGATAGACATGCGGGGATAGCGCGCATGCGACGCATAATGACAGCTTCGTACCACGGTACCGTTGAGACATGATGGATGCGGTACCACGCGGATGATTGATTGTGACGTCTGTGCTACGATGATAGAGATCTTCCAAGCATTGCGGAAGTAACAAGAGAAGCAGGGAAGCGGAACGGATGTTTCACGGTAAGTGCGCATAGGTCGGAAGCACCTGTGCTCGCACAAGCAAAACTACATCTGATACATCATGAGACGAGAGGCATGGTGTGATTGCACGCATCACTTGCAAGATCATGGATGAGTAGGCAAATGCTTCCATATTATCATTTTCTGCTACGTCTATACAAGCTCTTTGCATAGCGTTCCCATCAGACACACCCATCACGGATGCCAATGCTCGCGTGACTCAAATTGAAATAGATGCTAGAGGGGGTTTCCACAGATTCCAATGCTAACATGTCGTAAAAGGACAATTATAGTATAAGGTCGTGAAGGGAAACGCTTATGCAAAGTAGGCGAAAGCGGCGGCGGCACCGAGCATGGCAGCGACGGGGCTGCGGATGTTGGCACCAGAGTCAGTGACCTCAGGAAGGCTGGCGCTGCCAGTGGCAGAGCCGGAAGAAGAGGCAGAGCGGGTAAGAGTGGCAGAGGTGACAGTGGAGTTGACGCCAGCGGAGGGGCTGATGGTGGCGGAAGCAGAGGCAGCGCTGGTGATCATGCTGGACTTGGCGCTCTCAATGGCGCTGCTGAGGGCAGCAGAGGCGGAAGAAGCAGCAGATGCAGTAGCGGAAGAAGCAGAGGCCATAGCGGAGGAGACGGCAGAGGAGACAGGGGAGTCATCCTCCTCAGCACCACCAGAGAGGGGGAACTGAGCGGAGTAGTTGATGGTAGTTCCCTGCTGGATCTGGAGAGCGTAGTCGGGCTCGTTGACGAGAGACTTGGTTGGGGTCCACTCGAACTTTCCACCGGTAGCGGAAGCTAGAGTTCTGTTAGAATTGAAAGATCAAATCATAGTCAAATTGGGTACATACTGGTAAGAGTGGCAACGGTGTCGAGGTCAGTGGACTGTCCCTGGCGGAGGATGAAGGTGGTGGGGGTGTCGTCCGCGGGGGAGTAGGTGATGGTGTAGGTCTGGCCAGCAACAACACCCTCAGCAGGGAAGTCGTTGATCTCGAGGGCAGCGACGGCGGCAGCGAAGGCCGCGGCGGAAAGGATGGTCTCGAAGAAGCGCATGGTGACGGTAGTTGGATTGGTGATTAGGGTATTAGAACTGTAGTAGCTGTATGGGTATATGTAGTTGGATAAAGAACGAGTGACTGTGTACAGCGATAGTGCGACGTGGGAGTGAAGAAGGAAAGACGACGGTGGGCGACGCGGTATAATAAAGAATACGCTGACACCCAACGGCTACCTGGACCGGATCGAGACGCCAAAGCAACGGCAGAAGATGCAAAATTGCCGGACGAAAGCAGTATAGCTCGCTCTGGAGCTAATGGATGAGGATGCTCATGCGCCCAATCGGCCGTTCGCCAGTGAGACGCTTGGCCAGGAGCCCCCTTTTCCCTCTGTTCGCACAGCCCTCGAGGCATCTCGCCTAGGATCATAGCGAGCGTCTAGCCCAGGAGCCACTCACCGACGATGCATCCCGGCGCATGAGGAGCACACCAACGGCCGCCGTGCCACGATGCTAAACTGTTTGGAGGTTAGAAGGAAGCCACCCAATAATCCGGGGAAAATTCAGGGGCCTTGCTGCCATCCTGCTGCCGCATAACCGCGCAGGAACACGAGGTGTCGATGCAGACTACAAGAAGAGGGTGACAGACTGTCGTTCGAGATGTGGATGTTGAGTAAAGTTGCTGGCGCAAACTACAGGCGTCGAAGCTGTACCTGCATTGGCGCCAAGGTCTCCCCTGCTTACTCGGCCACCCCCGGCACCTGCCATCTTCTGTAACTTTGCCTCGCCTAACATGTCAGCTCCACCACCACCTTATGCGAACGCCGGTCTCGCACATGACCTTAACCGCCGGGGGCGACGTCATCCTCCACCAGGGCGACTCCAATCGACGCCTTGATCTCCCCCTATCGATATGCGCCGACATGACTGCGATCTACGACCTTCCCTGGAAGACTTTGCCAGCCTAGGGGCGAGACTTGGGTGGTCGGTGCGACACCGGTGATGAGCCTACGGTTTTAGCACGGAGCCGATGGGGGTGCAGACGGCCCGAGATTTGGGCCCCACCCAAAGGAGATTTGACTGTGGGCTGGCCTTGACGAAAATGACCGACAGCAAGATGCAAAGTTGGAGAATGAAGCGGTGACTATCGTTTAAAAGATCATATCGTACCTGGTAGATGCATATGCGCATCGGATATGCCAGAGCGGTACGTCGAGCAGGATCATGCCGTCTGCGCACATCTTAGCAGCATGCGCCTATTGCTTATGGTAAGCTGGATCATGTTATTATTACATTCTTCCAGATAATCGCATGCACGCCCAGCATCGGCAACGTTGGGACCAAGGACGACAAGAAGGTCGCTGAAACCCAAATGACCGGCGTTAATTGTACGATGTCATATGGTATGGAAGTAGGGAGTATCCTGCAGGGCGTACATGTCGCTAACAGCAGCCTGTGGTATCGATCTCTCTCGATACAAGAAGTCAAACTGGAAGAGGATGTCATAGAGACACGGAAGCCGCACGCATGCTGAACAGGTCTGCAGCCTACATTAATATAAGAACATGCAAAGTGGGTGATCTAACGTCGACGTAGGCTCCAGACTGTTGAGCTTTTTTGTTGAATGGGGTTATCCCATCGTGCTGCAGGCTCCCCATTCATGTGTTACAACTGCTTGTACACCTGAAGTGCTGATGTCGTTGTGAAAGTTGGAGCATAAAACACAAGTCATGAGCAAGGAAGACGTAGAGAAATGCTCCATTGACTATGGAAGATCGTTGATGATCCTTATAATTCTCTTCACATACATGCGTGTGGTGCATCTGGCTTCACCGCAGTTTTCAACCATGTGACCCACGTGGTCATAGACGCAACTCCACCCTGTTCACGGTCTTTTGCATGTCATGTCATATTCCATCCGTCTGCTCAAGACTGGATGCTTCAGGTGAAGACATCCTCCTCCCACTTCTTCTCTCTCTTGATGAATTCCTCAGCGTCATCGGGGAAGTCCTCTTCCATGGTGTCCTCTACCGGGGTCTGAGCCTTCTTGCCACGGGACTTGGGAGTCGCCGTCTTCTTCTTAGACGGGGTAGCGTCCTCGGAGCCGGAAGACATGTCCTTTCTCTTCTTAGGAGTTGCCTTGGCGGTTGTTGGGGTAGTCTGACCTGTACAGTGTTAGTTTTGCGTCGGTAGAAGCCTGACCAGCGTGTAGTGAAGGACTGTAAATACTTACCACCCTTCTTGGCCGGTGCCACGGGCTGGAAAGTCTCGCCTTGTTCAGCACGAGCTTTCAGCTCCTTGGCCTTAGCCGTGATCGTGCGGAACTGATGTTCGAACGAGCTCGCAGTTCGGGTGCCGTCGAGGGCTGACATCATCTCATACTGTGCCTTGGAGATGGTGGTGCTACCTATAGCCATCAGGAGGACAGAGACGCAATCTGCTGGTACCACCTTCTGGCCACTTTCGGTGGAAGCTTTGGGAGGCATGCTGATGATGGTGGTGTCGTGTAAGGGAACGTTGTGATGTGACTTCAAGAGATGATACTGAAGAGCGATGCTCGTCTGCGAGGTAGGAAGATTGAACTCGAAGTGTGGTGTCAAGAGAAGAGAGTAGAAAGCCTGAGGACGAACTGAAATAGGCAGGCGCCTTACTACTGCGCTGGCGTAGTGAGAGAAGTCGCTGTCTAAGCAAAGCTGTGGTGACGGTGAGAGCTTGTGGGGCTTTGGACAGGTTCACCACTCACCTTCACGTAGACAAGGTAAGCCCATACCCAACTAGAAGCTGGAGAAAGACCGCGCTTTCCTAGGCCACGCAAAAGTAGGATAATGTAGCCTACTTCCATGCTAGCCATTCAGGCGACTGTTTACATCGGAGTGAGCAGGTGGGAAAATCTGGTGCATGGCGTTATAACAAAGTGAGACGGAGCAAGTACGTGTGCTGATGCAGTAAAAGTTCGGATCATCTTATCGTAATCAAAACATCCCTCTTCTCACACATGTGATGTGAAAGAAGAAGGCGAGGCCCAGACTTAGCCATCTTCTAACTGATTTTAGAGGAAGGCTACACACCCGATATGATGAGTGGGAGAGGAAAGGGCATATGAAGGCGATGCTACATCTGTACTTGATCACATATACGCGTTATTAGCTTCCATTCATGGATACAGAGATCTAGGTCGCGATGCACTCCAGGCGTCGCGCAACGAATGCAAATTGCGGCCATTGTTTGACAAGCACTCTACAAGTCGTTCAGTCTTACAACACCACATTCTGGTCCACCTGTCCAATCACTGAAAATTGCATATCGGCCTCATAACACACTGTGAGCCACCTCTTCGGTCATTGAAACTTATATGTAGTTTCAAATAACGAACACATCCCGTATCGAGCACATCAGCTGCCCACGGTCTTTCTATTCGCATCTTCACTAATCATAATCGCCCATCCAAGGCTCGATCCCGATCCATCTACTGTCCTCTCTCTCCTGCTCCTTTTGCATCTGCTTGAGCCGCTCCATCTGCAACTCCGAAACAAAACGTAGGCCTCCTTGTGTCGGACCAGCGCGAAGGTTCTCGCATTCAAAGCACTCACAACACTCTGGCATAAAGAGCATAGTTCCGTGACCGCATCTCTTCACCTTCTCGAAGTACCGCTCCAGAGCCTGATCAGGAGTTTCGTCCCTAGGGCAGTTTGGTGTACGGACGGCTGCGTTGTATACATCTTTCAAGGAGTACACGTTGCTCCAGTATCGCTTGCTGTACATGACGTAGTTGGACTTTCTTTTCACCCCGGCAGTCTTGAGCTGATTCTCCCTCATGTGAAAAAGACCTGCAACATCCCCGCCTGTGATTGTCATCTGCATTCCTTGAGTGTCTTTGAATCGGGAGATTTCCGTCCCAGAAGCTGCACTGTCTCTCCTGGAAGAGGGTTCTGTCGGCGTTTTCGCCGGCTCGGCGCTGGAGGCGTGCTCTTTCCAGTATAACAACCCCTTCTTCACAATATGCTCCCCGTCCAGGTCCTTGCACGCTTTTGGTGTTCTGAGCATCCAATTAAGGTAGCCCTCATTGCGGCCTTCTTCATGGACCTGCTTCAAGGTCTTTCCCCTGTGCTTTCCCGTCTTAAGGATGTAGTGTGTATATGGGTCGTTCGTCGCTCGAGTGCGGTACTCCTCATCGACTTCGTTTTCGAGGGTCTCGTTAGTAGGAACGAAGCTGTTCTTGTTTGGGTTTGACGAATTGCCCCATGCCTTCTTCGGTGTCCCGTATGGTGGCATTCTCGGTCGCGCAATATAGCGGGTACGATACGGAGGCTAATGCAGAAGCGTCGGCAGCGGTGGGGCGGTGGTCGTGCCAGGAAGATCAACCTAACTATGTCATCGTACCAGCTTTCCACAGGGTGTACACGGGTAATAGTATACTTACTGCTAAGAGCGTATGTCAATGAATTGAATAAAAGCGGTCGAGTTGAAGACAGTTACAAAGTTTATGATTGTTGAGTCTGCGACGCGGCCGCGGGAATGACGGACTGTGCCGCCGCGCGAAACCCTGGCTGTGACGTACCCTTGGTTCATCACCAATGCTGCAATTGGACACTCGACAGCTGTATACATCAAATTGCTTGTGAGATCGACAAGAATGCTATCTGTAGTTTCTTTGTTTCGCATCATGCCTACAACTTGGATGCGTCTGGCTAATCAGCGACGTGGAATTCGGAACGTGGGCATGTCGCAATGCTCGACCCTTAACCTATATTCAAGTAAAACGAGACGTTAAAACCAAAGGAATATGTGTAGATGCAATGTTCTCTTGTTGGAAGTGTGTTGAGAAGGTGAGGGGTAGGAGCATGGGCAGCTTGTTGGCCTTGGCCTAATCGAGCTAGTCAGTCGCGAAACTCACGTTTTCACGCGAGATGAACGCTGTTTTCAGACAACATGACGTCGCACGCTACGCGTCTGAACCCTTTGACTTGAACCCCATCATTCTAACGACACCAACTAAGTATCTATCTACTAACTCGCGTCATGTCAGGCGAACCTGGGTCTTCCGTGGCGGTACCGGCACCTTACTACATTTCGAAGTCGGCTATCTGTACCAACAGCAAAGGCGAGAGCATTGGTAATGGTCTTTTTGCTAACCGAAGGTTTGGTTCGGGCGAAGAGATCGCAAGCTTCACGAGGCCTCTTGCTGCTTCATTGGAGACGGAACGGCTACTCGATACCTGTGCGAATTGCTACCTCTGGACTGAAGGCTCCTCGACTGGAACGAGGTTGTATGTACCGGAAGGCGCAAAAGTGAACAAGTGTGCTGCATGCCAGATATTCCGCTACTGCAGCAAGGTACGTCGAGTTATCTGCGGGTATGTTCGTAAACTAATATGCATCAGGCATGCCAAAAGGACGCATGGAATCGGGGACATAAGCATGAGTGCAAGATGCTGAAGCCAACGGCTGGTAGACCCCTCCCCAAAGCCTTACTTGCATGTATGGAACTATTCATTAGGCGAAAGCATGGTTTGATTTCCGATGAAGAGTGGGAGCTGCTTTGTCGCTTACCTTCGCACATTGACGAATTCAAGCGGAACGGAACCTACGAGAATATCGAACTCATGGCTATGGGTGTCGGTCAATTCTCGTCGTTGCAAAACCTTTTCGACAAGGACTTTGTTGCAGCGATGTATGGTCGAGTAAGTCTGTGATGGACTCTTGTAACTCTCTCACTGACATGTATAAAGGTAATGTCAAATGCTCTGACACTGATCACACCTACGTTAGATCCTCTAGGTATCATTATCGACCCTACACTCTGCCATATGAATCACTCCTGTAACCCGAACGCATACATCATGATGGACGGTCCGAGAGTAAGCGTTCGTACACTCCGACCCATCAAGAAAGACAAAGAAATCTACATATCGTACATTGATGCTACGAATCCCTACCATAGGCGACAACAAGAGCTCCAATCCCGCTGGTTCTTTACCTGCCGCTGCGCCCAATGTCAGGAAAAGGCGACTCTCCAGGAAGACAACTGGCTGGTACCATCAAGGCCTGGATGGGTCTTGGGAGCCGAAGTTGCGTCCATGGCAGAAACTCAGGAGAAGCTGTTTGGTCTCTATGCGGAACTCCAAGCAACAGAGAACCCCCTGCTTGTTAGAGCAGCGATCAGGCAAGCACTCAAGATATGCCATGAGGCAATGTTTTTGCCGATTTATCGACAACCATATGCTGCACTCCGCGACGACTTGATTGTGAACCTGCTTTCCGAGGGACGTTACCAGGACGCATGGGCGCAATGTGCAAAGCGGTACAAGTACATTCTTCCCAAGCTCTACCCAGTCTCGTTCCACCCGGTCCGGGTAGTACAAACATGGCAGATGGCGATGTTGGCTGCGTACTTAGCAAGTACTCCAGAGGGTGTAGGTGCACCGGAGGTGAATATGGGTCTCATTGCCATGATGTTGGTAAAGCAGGTGTTGAATGTAGCGCACCTGAGTCATGGGCCGGCTAGTGCATTCACAAAGAGTGTGAAGGCCAAAGCAGAAGAGATGACAGAAGAGCTCAAGAGGAGTATTGGAAACGCAAACAGTGATGTCATGAACAGGGAGCTTGAGGTTCAGAGAGACAGGCTGATGGAGATGGGGGATTGGGCTCAGGACGGCCAGATAGAGGAACGGGCAAAGATTATAACTCTGCACGAGAAAGCCTTCAGTGTATGAGCACAGCCACCCCGCGCGTGCGTGTTCGTGCTGTAGGCAAGGCATATAAAAGTCCGTATGGAAATTCTACCTCTTATTCCTCAACAACAATACCCTTCTTCATGATTTCAAAAAGCCGAGAACCTCTTCTCAAGGCTCTTCGCTTGTTCCTCTTCTTTCAAAACGTCACAGCAAAAGTCTCACGTGCGGCCTGGCGACCCCGGAGACCTGCATACACACAACGGGGTTATCCAGAACAAAACGCATGGTGCACATATCGATGAAAATATATCACCGTCAAAACTGCGCATCAATGTAACATGTTCGGACTGTTGACGATAACGTCCATGTCACCGGGATCTCCTCGCGCAGGCCAACTTCCATCTGTATGAACATCCTTTCCACGGCTCTTTCTTCCTTCAGCGAGCACATGAATGAGAAAGTACCAAAAACGATGTACGATATATTGATGTTGCCTGTGAGTCAGCAGCGCGCTCCAAAAGCAAAACACGCTACCCGCATGTCCCTGGGAGCTAACCATCAGCTCTGCTCTATATTCTCCTGTGGTCTAATTTACCAAAAATTAAGTAAAAGATATGGCTCAAGTACATTTTCGGCGGCTGCGAGAGCAAGTGGAAGAAGCGTAAAAAATGAACAGAACTATTCATGTGGAGCATGTTGAATGGCGTCGTATCAAAACTGATCTGGACCATTTCCATGCTGAGTTCTGCTCTGGCAGTCAACATCGGTGCACTACCATATACAGGAAAAAAGCTGGACGGGTGTAGAGCCTA